ACTTTATTGTCAACATTTTTCAACTCTTTGACTGTAACAAATTTTAATCAGAATTTAAAGGTTCCTTGAAATGCTTTTTTGAAACTTTTGTGATTTATCAAAAAAAACTTGTTCTTATATTTTTTGTTGGCATTTCTTCCAACTCTTTTCCTTGCAATTTGAATAACTGGAAATATTTACTTTTTCAATGAAAGCGTCAATAGAATCAAATAACAATCTTATTTTGGGAATCATTTTAATGAGAATTTTGTTTTTCTTTTTGTCAAGTTTGGTCAACTTTTCTCATTTTCCTGGGAAATTGGTCCGATTCCATGTAAATTTGTTCATTACATGCAAAATGTATCAGCAATATGCTCTGTTTACACACTTACAGCAATGAGCATTGAAAGGTAAGACAAAGGATTTAAAATCTATTCTTTCATTATCATTATTTGATCAAAGTAAACAGTTTCATTGAGGGAATGATATAAGTCTTGATTTAACTAGAAAGTTGACTGCTTACAGTAAATATTAATTTGTATTATCAAGAGATGAATGGTAATGGATATCAATATAAATAGAATGTAATATTTACTTTTATAATCAGATATTATGCGATTCTGCATCCAGTGAAGAGCCGTTACATGTGCACAATGTCACACACTCGGATGATCATTGTATTAACTTGGATCTTCTCATTGATATCAGCTTCACCCATCATTCATTTGCAGGTAAATATACATTTAATTGAAACATTTATTGAAATGCTATTAATATTTGTAAATAAAAACATTCTGATGCTAATTTTAACTTCAATTTGGTCTATTAATAACGAATCTAACTTGGATTCATCATCAAATTGCATCATAGTTTTGTCATTTTTAGGACTAATAATACATCTAACAGTTTATACTCCATAAATTGGGAATCAAAGCTTTAATTTGATTCTATTTTTGCTACTTTGTCGTCACTTCAACTCATAAGTAATAGACAAACGATAGATGAGCTCAATAAAATATGGATTTGGGAAAAATGGATGCAGTTCGAAGAAAAAGTCGACTAAAAATGAAAAACAAAGAGTTCGCACACACAATTCTCATTGAAACCAATTTAATTTATTAAATCCATCAATGTCTTAAACTACTTCATATCAATTACGATATTTGCTTTATTTTGAAATTGATATGCAATTTAACTCCACAAAATCTATTAATATCTTTGAATTCTTGCTCGAATAAAAAGAGACATTTGAAGTTGAAATTGATAAAAAATGGTCAAATTGTAGTTTATTTGCATTTGGATTCTCCAAACTGTCAAGATACGTTAGTATTGTCTGTATGGAATTGGTATGATAAACGGTTTCTGTACAATCTTTTGAAGCTACTAATATTAATGTGGGCTCTGAAATTTTTGTTAAGCATTTGAATATCAACTTTAATCGTTCAGATTTGCCGAAGATTAACATTGCTGCAGCAAACTTTTCTGTGGGAGTCATAATAAAGGTTTCAATGGAAATAACGAGTGACAAATTTGATTGCAAACCGAATTATATGTTGATTGAAAACCATTCTGATTCAATAACATGATCTCCTTTCATATACTCAATCCATTGAGAGATTATCTTACTGAATGAGCTCGTCACAGAATAGGGAACTTACCTGTACATGATTACTCTGAATGATACTAATAACAGATTAATAAACAAGCTATAAATAGTCTGGATTCTTATGGATACTCCAATAGTTTGGTTACTTTGATGTATTGCATTACGCTATTAATACGTAGGGAAACAATCAGTGGTCCAAGTTATCAAATGAAATCCTAACACAGCAGTCTATTTCATCTGTCATAACTAATGCATTGATTTTAAGTCGATATTTAATTTCGTTGGAAATTCTTTGTTTTCGATATTCGTTGATCAGCTTAAATCCAGTCTTTTACAAGCCAAGTTTATTAACTTTTAATAACTTCAACATAACTTTCTAATTGATGTTTAAAAACATAATTCATTCGTTAAGAGACTTGAACAAATGTTGGTAGGACCTTAAATGGGATGCACTCGATTTGTTCAGTAAATAAAGAGTCAAATGCATTCTAGAAGTTAAATATCAAGCCTCAAACAAATAAATCGTTCAATAAACTAACTATCCAACTAACAAGACAATTATTTCAGCCCAAAACCCAATAAATGTTAACATCAGCTCAAATCTTAGTCAACGCAAGTGCTATTCTAATATGAATTAAAACATTTGTATGTCCAAAGATCTCCATAAAATACATTTCTAGAGAATACATTTTTAGGTTTCGCAGGAAAGTTAACGAGTTAAGATGAGCATCTAAATAAAGGATCAAAATCTATCAAAGTTTCTTCAAGTTTTTGTCAATTTCTTAGCTCTTGAATTCACTAAAATTAGCCTTGACTTCAACTTACACATTTTATCCAAATTGGATGCAAAGGTTTCTAAAAAGACGTTAATAGTCGAATCATGTTTGATGTTACACCAAAAAGCTGTCCATCAACTCGACTAACATACAGATGTTTACACGAATTGCTTGATCACTATCAAATTGCACCTGTCATGTTAAATATTTTATTGACATTTAAACATTTAAATCGCTCAATTGGTACTCACCTTACAAAGCAAGCTTACAATTAATGCAATGAACAATTGAAAGTTTCCTGAGAAGAGTAGAGAAGAGTGAATGATATCAAATTAAATATTGACTAGTCGAAGCAAAAGGCAACTGAACAACTACTTCATGAAATAGTTTCATATCTGATGTTCACAGGAAAGGCATTCCATCCATTCAAGAATTGACAATGAAGCAAAAGCAGTAAAGTAATAGAGAAAAGAAACTCAATTTATGAGTTTATTTATTATTAAAATAAACTTTTCTTGTGAATAATAATCATTTTAATGATATTTAGGTGACAATAAAAGTCGTCTCTTTGTGTTATTCAACTTGATAATGATGTTTAAACTCGAAAATAACAAGATTGCCTGAAAATTCCACTTTTCCATCCTTATTATTATTCAATTTGATTAATGAATCGCCTTTAGCGAAGTTGACTGCTTATTTATAATTGTGACGATCAAATGAATGGTTAAAATGAAAAAATGTTGATAATGTTTCAAGGCTTCAAATTGATTGAGATTTGGCAATGAAATTTCATCGGATTCGTTGAGAAATGAAAAAGGGAAAAGTTTCTTCTTCTAAATCATTAATAACAACTGACAATCGATTGATATACTATAATAATATAAACGTATCAAGAGTTTCAGGATTAATCAAATGTAGCAATCACATTAATCATGTTCATCGAGTTTCCATGTTCATTGTGGTCAAAGCTGAACAGTTCCAAAGGCTTTTTATACTATTTATTGAGCTTCAGTTTCGTTCAGTTTCGCTTAAATGTTTTGTGGTTTCCCTTTTCACGAAACAATATTAATGATGCTTTTGAGGAGGCAAAAAACAATTGCTTCTTGGACTAGTTGTTGATATAATCATCATTAATGACGATAATTAACATTTCAACGAATTGTCAATCATTTTAAACTCACCTGAGATTAAACAATTGGATAAAGGATAAAGTATATTGTTAACGTC